ACTGTTCCCCTGAAGCCCTGTATGCAAATCTCCTCCCATTAGTTTTATCTTTCCAACACATTTCTTTATTCTTTTGCTGCACGTGTCCCTAATCAATATAATGATTTTTCTCTGTGTCCATGTGGATACTAAGTTGTCCTAGCAGGGTCACCTGTATCACGAATCCAAGAGCTCATAGGTGGGAGGGTGTGTTCCCTGGACACATTTGTCCATCTCTGCACTGATATCACCTCTCTCAATGACAAGAGCTTCATAAGAAGGTCTGATACCTGGCCGGCCAATCCCCCACTTTGATCTGCCTCAAAATTGCAGAGGTTTTAATCTCTGCCTCTGCCATTCCTGGTTCATGATCATGCTTAATGAATGTTTGTTGAATAAATGGCAAATTCTGTTTTTTTTTAGTGTGTCATTTTCAGGATCTTTTAGGAGCTTTGCCATTTAATTTCTTTTTAGATAATTATGTATTTAAAAATCAAGCTTCAGAATAAGAATTTACTGACCAGAATACCACTTACTGTTTTATAAAGTAGTGAGGAGTAAAGCCTCTGGCTAAAGTAAGAAATATTTTGTTTTGTTTTTTTTTGCAATAAATTTGCATTGGGTTGTCAAGGAAACTTACTGAGGAGAACTGTTTACTGGTAATAGGGTTTGCTTTGACATGTGACTACAAAGTAATGAGGCTTGCTTTCTCCAGCCTCAGTATTACATATAGTTTTACCTCATATAGTTATGTTTTGAATATGCAAAGCAATAACACTTGCAAGATTTACTAATTAATATTTCATGTTGATTGAAATTCAGAAATTAAATTATACTTTATGTTAGAGGTTTCCTTTTCTTTGCTTTAGCTTTGAAATGTCCCTGTAAAGGTCTTTCATTTGGACTATAACCTAATTGGATAGCCCTAGTCAGCCTTTGATGCAAATGCTTAGGTTTAGAATGGCTGGAGGGCCAGCCTGGTGGCGTAGCGGTTAAGTGCACACGCTCCGCTGCAGCAGCCCGGGGTTGGCAGGTTCGGATTCCAGTCGCGTACCGAGGCACCGCTTGTGAAGCCATGCTGTGGTGGCATCCCATATAAAGTAGAGGAAGATGGGCACAGATGTTAGCCCAGGGCCAATCTTCCTCAGCAAAAAGAGGAGGATTGCCATCAGATGTTAGCTTAGGGCTAATCTTCCTCACACAAAAAAAAATATATATATATACAACCATACATTCACCAAATGTAGCAAAAGAACATAAGTATGAAAATAAACACATTTGAAAGAAAAAAAAGGATGGCTGGTAAATACTGCCAGGAAGTCAGAGAACTCTAGGAAGAAAGACTACATTTTGTTATCTATATAACAAATCAGTGAAGGATTAACCCCTTTTTCTACTTTCTCTTCTTGAATCTTCCTTGAAGATTAGATAGATAGATATGACTTAGATGCCATTGTATAGGGTGTCTTTGGAGGGCTTTTTTTAACTTTTGAACTTGAATTAACAAATATGATTATATTTGGGTTTATTTTCCTTTTGATAAGGAATTTTTTAAAATGTAAGATTAGCCATAGTTATCAAGAAGAACAGGTGTGGCAATGATCTTTTTCTTTCATGGAAATAGTATATTATTTTAGCTTTATAATGTAATATTGTAAAAACTAAGGATAACCTTCTGGAAGGCTGCTTTCTTGGAGCGTAGACTCTGAAGAACAGAGTAGTGGCACTGACTCCTTTAGCTTTTAAAAAATTACTGTGATCTGAAAACTAGTTTTATTTTATTGAGGTGAAGTTAAACATAACAAAACATTAACCGTTTTAAAGTGACCAAGTCAGTGGCATTTAGCAACCACCACTTCTATCTAGTTTCAAAACACTTTCATCATTCTAAAATAAAATCCTGTACCCATTAAGCAGTTACTCCCCATTCTTCCCTTCCCTTCCCTTCCCCCAGTTATTGGCAACCACCAGTCTGCTTTCTGTCTCTATGGATTTACCTACTCTGCATATTTCATATAAATGAGATCATACAGAATTTGACTTTTTGAATCTGACTTTCGCTTAGCATAATGTTTTCAGAGTTCGTCCACTATGTAGCATGTATCAGTACTTCATTTCTTTTTCGTGGCTGAATACTAATCTATGTATGTATGTGCCACGTTCTGTTTGTCCATTAATCCACTGACAGACATTTGAGTTGTTTCTGCTTTTTGGCTGTTGTGAATAATGCTGCTATGAACATTTCTGTGTAAGTGTTTGAGTACATGTTTTCAGTTCTTTGGGGTATATGCCTGGGAGTGGAATTACTAGATCATATGGTAATTTGAGAAATTTTTGAGGAAAAATCTCAAACCACTGAACTGTTTTCCACAGTGCCTGAATTATTTTACATTCCTGCTGGCAGTGTATGAGGGTTCCGATTTCTCGACATCCATGTCAGTACTTGTTGTTTTTGGAATTATAGCCATTTTAGTGGTTGTAAAGTGGTGTCTCATGGTGGTTTTACTTTGCACTTCCCTAGTGACTAATGAATGATGTTGAGCATCTTTTCATGTGCTTGTTGGCTAGTTGTAAATCTTCTTTGGAGAAATGCTATTCATCTTTTTGTTGAGTTGTAAGAGTTCTTTATGTATTTTGGATACCAGACCCTTAATAGATCAGATAGATGATTTGCAAATATTTTCTTCCATTCTGCAGGTTGCCTTTTCACATTCTTTTTTTTTTTTTTTTTTGGTGAGGAAGATTCGCCCTGAGCTAACATCTGTTGCCAATCTTCCTCTTTTTTGCTTGAGGAAGATTAGCCCTGAGCTGCCATCTGTGCCAGTCTTCCTCCACTATATGTGGGTCACTGCCACAGCATGGCTGACGAGTGGTGTAGGTCCGTGCCCGAGATCAGAGTGCGCTGAACTTAACCACTACGCTGTAGGGCCGGCCCCCCATTTTTTTTCCTTTCTTTTTTCATTTAATTATTTTTTTTTAAAGCTTCAGTGCATAGTTGTGTATCTTAGTTGTTAGTTTAATTTTCTATGTGAGCTGCCGCCACAGTATGACAACTGACAGATGGGTGGTGTGGTTCCATGACTGGGAAATGAACCCAGGCGATGGTGGTGAGAGTGCTGAATCTTAACCACTAGACCACCAGGGCTGGCTCTTTATATTCTTCTTTTTTTTTTTTTTTTTTGCCGAGGAAGACTGGCCCTGGGCTAACATCCGTGCTCATCTTCCTCCACTTTATATGGGACGCCGCCACAGCGTGGCTGGCCAAGCAGTGCGTCGGTGCGTGCCCGGGATCTGAACCGGTGAACCCCGGGCCGCAACAGTGGAGCGAGCACAATTAACTACTTGCACCACTGGGCCGGCCCTTTATATTCTTGATAATGTCCTTTGATATGCAGATGTTTCTAATTTTGATGAAGTCCAGTTTATCGATTTTTTTTTTATTGCTCATGCTTTTGCTGTTGTGTCTAAGAATTTGGCATATCTTGCCAAATCCAAGGTCATAAAGATTTACCCCCATTTTATAGTTTTAACTCTTACATTTAGGTTGTTGGTCCATTTTGAGTTAATTTTTGTATATGAAGTAGGAGTCCAATGAGGACTTTTATTTAAAATCAAAATTTTATGGAAAGTCCGCATTGTGTATCCCTTGATTAAGCATATATACACATCAACCAAAAACTGCTATGGATTTTATATTATTTTAAATTATCCTGCATTGTATTAATCAAAGCAGAACTTATATACATTTAAAAAATAGTACTTCTAAGTAGAAGACATTATTTTCTCAGTCCGTGGGCTATATATATTGCTGACCGTATATGGATTCAGGTATTTCCTTCATGTAACTCCGTGGTCCCCTCTGAGTCTACAGATCACAGATTTTGTAGAGGTGCATCAGGAGAATCTGTTATGACATAAAAAAATGGATTAAGGATGAAGAAAAAGGTAGAATTTCCAGGGGCCCATAGATAGTTGCAGAGACTTCAAGGGAGAGAGAGGAGATGACTGGAAGGTAGTCATCGGGAAGTCAGTGGTGGAATCTATAAGGGCTAGAGAGGAAGTAGCATTTTCTTTCAGGCTACAAGGATGACTGCAGAGTAGAAGTTAAGTGCTGGGGGTGGATGTGGGGTGGGATGGGGAATATGGTTTGGAATAGGGATGGAGGTGCAGAAGACATCATCAGGAAGTGATAGTTTAGGGAATGGTTGAAGATTCCTTTAGTTTTATAAATAATGCCAGCCCAACTCTACCTCCAAATAAGTCCAGCTAACTTGTTTTTAGCATCTGTCCTGGAGAGGGGCAAGGAAAAGGAACTAGGAAAATTCTAGACTTTATGTCAACCATGACTAGAATGTTGATTAAATTTGAATTAGTAAACTATATGCTACATCAGTATTTTGTGTGTGTGGGTTTTCTTTCATTTCTTAATAAAATTTTCTAGTAAAAAAATTCCAGTTTTATCTTGGCTGAAAGCATGATGAAAAGAAATTTTTCCACTTCTCATGTAGATGAGAGAGTTAGGTTCTCAGTGCGTACTTAGAGCTTAGGGTGGTGTGTTGTATTGGTCTATGGCCATCTGATGGAGCAGGAACTGGGACACAAAGGAGTGAGAACCTTGGAGGGAAAGTGTTGGGACTGTGGTGCCAACCACGGCTGAGGACTTCGTTCCTTCTGGCTAGCCCCTCACAGTGCTCACAGGCTCACCACTGACAATCTTTTTAGTCCTTGTCAGCTCTGTGTTCAAAGGGCTTTAGAGAAGGGAATGAAGGAGAAGGTAGATAGGACAAGTGACTGAGAGTCTGAGAGAAGGGTAGAGATAAAGGCCACTGGTTCAGATGCCCTTCTGCTTTTACTAGGCAGATTGTCTACTTTTTCAAACAGAAACAAAAGTTACCTTGTAAGAAGTGATTTGGAGAGGTATAAATAAAGAATAGAATACTTTTACTTTGTTTAAACTCTGAATTTGTATGAATGTGTCTTTTTGAGTTTTTAACTGCCCATGTGACCTCTGTGACTTTCAGGTGCTACTTGTGAGCAGTAGTCGCCATCCAGACCGATGGATTGTCCCTGGAGGAGGCATGGAGCCTGAGGAGGAGCCGAGTGTGGCAGCTGTCCGTGAAGTCTGCGAGGAGGTATGCACTGAGAAGAAAGGGCACAGCCGTACCTTATAATCGTGAACTTGTCATGTCTGTGTAGTACTTTAATTTATCACTACTCACTGAATAAACATACTCATGATCAGAGAAAGAAAGCATTTAACAGTTACCATGTGCCTTCTTGATTAAAGAGGTGATCAGATTGTGACATGGTAATGTTGATCAGTCTATGCAGAGAGAGGCCTCTGTGGTAGTGACTGTATCTCAATATACTACACAGTCCTTTGTGATTTTCCATGGATCTCTTCCAGCATTGCCTCTGTTACCTGTGGCAGAAGACCAAGTATCAAATGGTTCGTTGGCCCTAAGAAATAAAAGGAACAGGCAGTATTGGTATAAATGGCCCATTCTCATTAACCTTTGGATAAGGAGGAGGCAGCCCTTGTACTCCCATGCTTCCTGGGTCCTGGCCATAGAACAGTGGCTGAAGCAACAATTCTGTTAGTCAGAAGCTGTTAATGGTGCAACTTGAAAGATAATAGTATCTTCTTTTTCACTCAGTCACATGATACTCAACATACATGTGTTGACTTCCTGGGTCATGCCCAGTAAAGTCATGCACCACGAATGACATTTTGGTCAACAACGGACCACGTATACGACGGTGGTCTCGTAAGATTAATACCGTATAGCCTACGTGTCTAGTAGGTTATATCACCTAGGTTTGTGTAAGTACACTCTATCATGTTCGCATAACGACAAAATCACCCAACAATGCTTTTCTCAGAACGCATCCCCATCGTTAAGCAACACGTGAGAGTATATCTTACTAGAGACTCTAGAATAAATAGTTAGAAGAAGTAAAGTCTTGGACCTGTAGTTCCCTTACTTCAAGAGCTTACAGTTTGTTTGGGGGAACTGAGAAAGAGATTGCAATTCAAAACCAGGAGGAAGGAACTGATGTTTCTTCATAGCCTCTTGTGGCGACACCATGCTATGCTCTGCTTATCTTATCTTATTTAGGACTCCTAACTCGGTGGTGTAAGTTTTATCACCCCCATTTACTTGCCCTGGCCACAAAGATAGTGCTTTTTAGATCCATTTCCTTGTTTCCCAGGGGACTTAAGACTGATTCTAAAGACATATAAAATAGCATTAGAACAAGTCTAAATTATACATTTCTTTTGGGTCCAGCCTTTGCTGAAGTTCTCTTAGACTAATCTTACCCTGGGAATACTCAAGGGATTCTTTCCTCGCTCTGAACTCCTATAGACTTACATTGGCTCTATCACTCTCTTTTTTTTGTGTGTGAGGAAGATTAGCTCTGGGCTAATAATATCTGATGCCAATCTTCCTCTTTTTGCTGAGGAAGATTGGCCCTAGGCTAACATCCGTGCCAATCTTCCTCTATTTTATATGGGACGTCTGCCACAGCATGGCTTGACAAGTGGTGCGTTGGTGCGCGCCCGGGATCCGAATCCGTGAACCCTGAGCTGCTGAAGCAGAGCACACGCACTTATAACTGCTACGTCACTGGGCCTGCCCCTCATTTTATTATATATCTGGTATCCATAACTAGATTGTAATCTCTGAGGACAAAGATTATGATTCCTAGTTTAAATCCTCCCTTCCTGTGCATAGTATGCCTCTAGGTAAACAGAAAGTAATTACTGCATGCTTCTCTGACAGATTGAACAATGTATGGAATGATAAAAGTCCTGAAGAAATACCCTAAGTGGAAATTATCAGAGTTCTTTCAGGAGGATCCCAAAGGTTTGACTATTCAAATAAGTGTGGTAGGGCCAGTTGGTGGACCTAAGCTGCATAATTTTTTTTTATTGTGAAATTTTTGTTGTACATTATTGTTTGTCAGTCACCATATAAATTAAGCTGCATAGTTTTGATTTAAATCCAGTTGGCTCCTGTAGGTTCTAAGGCACGTAAGGCAAAAGTGATGTTTGACAGAGTTACCGTGGCAGTTGTGGATTCAGGTTGTTGGAAGACCTGAAATAGAGTGATGGTTCTAGAATAGAGAAAGGAAAAAGTTCAGAGACCTTGTGCAAAACTTGCTATTTGGTTTTAGGAGCTGTGAGGGGGAATCTGATAGCTCTACCTTTGTAGAGCACATTTGGATTTGGCGTCTGTCTCAGGAAAGCTTATACTAGTAGTTATTACTATTGTTGCTTTGTTTTTGAGTGTTATGGTTGAATTGTCCCTGAGTTATACAAGTGCAGCTAAGATGTAGAAAACTAGATGATTGCAGTAGGAAATGCAACAAGGGAGTAGGAAGGGATATAGGGACCTTGCTTACTACCCTTTTGTTGCCTGGAAATTACATACCATCCTTCAGTAGGTAAAACAGAATAGAATGAAGTAGGATTCAAGTGCTTATGACACAGGAAGGTGAATGTTGCACACAGATAATGAAACTATATTCCTCATAGGATCAGTATCTTACCTACCTCCTGTATTGAAGGGAGTTCCAAACTTGAAATTAAACCCTGCCTGCCATTCTTAGCCCTGACAAATCCTACCTGACTTGGAGCAGTTTTTTCCCCTCCAGTCAAAGGAGAGTCATACTGTACCTTGTACTTTATTCCAGCATGATTGAGAGGATGAAGAAATGTCTATGAACTGCTTGGAACTTTAGAATAATGTACCAAATACAAACAATAAAAATTAGAGAAATGTGTCATTACAAAAACAAACATTTCAGTGGCTTCCATCAAAGTAAAATGGATGAGGTGGTTTTTCCAATTCCATGTCCATCAACAGAGAATAAGACTTGGAATCAGAGGGGATGTAGGTAGATATTTTTTGTTGCCCTTGAAGGGTAGCTTTTGTAAGCAGAAATCACTATTTAGGGGTTTATTTAATTTTCAAAATGTTATGACTTTTTTAAAGTACATATTTTCAAAAACTTAGTTCTTTCATAATGCTCGTAGATCTGATTGCTCTATTAATAAGCATAGGAGATTTTACTAGTCACTTATAAGGGGGCTTTGGATAATACCTAGACCAGTTCATTGAAGACTTTCAGATGTTTCAAATTGCATTTATAAATTTAATATATTTGACTGCTTTTTAAAGAATTTCGGTCATCTGACTAAAAAAAATAAAAACCTTATGAAACTCTTCAACAAAAAAGTCCTGTGAATCGCAGTATTTAAAGTTACAAATAAGGTGTGTCATAGATTCTCTAAATATTCCCATAGTGTATATAAACTTGAGATTTTTCAACTTAAAATCCCAAGTCAGAAATAAATTTTTCAATTACACTTTCAAGATTGAGGTTACAATCTAATAGTCCAAATTTTTTTAAACATTATAAAATCATAAAATGTCTGGTCTGCTTCTTAACATAGAAATATTTATACTATGATTTTGATTCTCTTAAACATTTTTATATTTCATTCTAAATATTTCTAGGATGGAAAGATGCTTATTCACCAAAGAAAGCGGCCCTTCCTGTTAAATGAGGCCAGGACTCTCGGGTGGCCTGATAGGAAACACTGACCCACTTTACTGTTGCTCTGTCAAGACTCCATAACATTACAAGGCTGGTGGTCGTGGAGTCCATGTGGATGGGAATGAGTATTGAGTGAGCAATCTGCAGTGTCTGGCATACCTGGCTAACTTTGTGCTTCAATCTGAAGGTTACTTCCTCCATGTAGTCTTTGTGATTTCGTTGTTCTTCTTGTGTGTTTCCATTGCAGTCTGTACTTCTAACATCATGGTATTTATCATGCTTTATTTTTTTTATTATTTTGTGTGTGTGTGAGTAAGATCAGCTCTGAGCTAACATCCGTGCTAATTCTCCTCTTTTTGCTGAGGAAGACCGGCTCTGAGCTAACATCTATTGCCTATCCTCCTCCTTTTTTTTCCCCCAAAGCCCCAGTAGATAGCTGTATGTCATAGTTGCACATCCTTCTAGGTGCTGCATGTGGGACGCGGCCTCAGCATGGCCGGACAAGCAGTGCGTCGGTGCGCGCCCGGGATCTGAACCTGGGCCGCCAGCAGCGGAGCGTGTGCACTTAACCGCTAAGCAATGGGGCCGGCCCTATCATGCTTTATTAATACTTCTTGTTTGTCTTCTGTGCTGGATTTTACACCCCGTAAAGTACCATTCTTTCTTGCTCACTGTTGAATCCCCAGTGCTTAATACATAGCAAGTGCTTAACAAAATAAGTGCTACAATTATTGATGTGAGCTCTAGAGCAGCCATATAAATGCAGTTGAGGTAGGTCCTTTCAGGTTGTTAGGAGTAGACATATCTATAGATCGCTCAGTTAGGAAGAAGATGACAGTGTCACAGCAGCTGCCTAGCTAGGCTATGCAGAACTGGAAACTTGAGTCACAGTAGGTAGGCAGACCTTGCTCATGGTGGGTGGAACAACAGGAATGCAGTGTAGCTCAGGGAGCCTGGTCGCTGCACCAGTGGCCCAGCCCCTATTCCACTGTGGAGGAGCTGCCTTTCTAATCTTTTCTCAGCCTCCTGGCTTCTACTTACCACTTTTTGCTTTAGATTTTTACTCCCTTGTGTACCGCTCACCAGTCTGTTGGCTCTGCCTGTGTATCTCACATTCAGCCTTCCCAAGAGAGAGGATATGATTGGTTTTGCCTAGTTAGGACCTTTGGGCAGAGTTGCCAGGCCACATCATTAGCTTCTGGCCATTTTGAAGATGTCTGCCTTACCTTTGCATCAGTTGCTGATTTCTTATTCCTCTAGCTGTGCTCAGAGTGGTGAGGTCATGTGTTATAAAAGCACGGCAACCTGTGTTTATAAGTACCACCTGTAGCAGCTTTACTGGGAGTCCTGTGTAGGTAGTAAACAGACATTTACCAACACAGGAAAATGTCTGTAACATGTTCCTAAGTGATCAAAGCAGACTGTGAAACAGTGTTTGTGATATGAAACCACTTAGTGGGAGAGAAATGTGTGGGTCCATTTGTGTAGAAAGAATAGATAACGCTGTTTGTACAATTCCCATGTGTCAAGCTCTGTTCTAAGCGTTTTGCGTATGTTGCCTCATTTA